TCTCTCTCTCTCTCTCTCTCTCTCTCTCTCTCTCTCTCTCTCTCTCTCTCTCTCTCTCTCCCCTCCCTCCCTCTACGTTTATCTCTTTCTCTCTCTTTCTAGCTCCCTCTCAGAGTCCGCTGGCAGGTCTGCTGGCACTCCCGAAATAATGTTCGAAAGAGCGGTACAACGCAGGGGAGAGGAATAGCGAGGTAGCAGATGGGCGAGGAGAGGGACGGGTGTCGACTGTGATATCCAGAGGAGGAAGATGAGAAAGGAGAGCGGAACAAGAAACGCCCGGATCGAGCGCGTTACATAATTTTCGTAACTCCACGAAGGAACGGAGAGGGTGACGTGAGGCTGGTGGGGATGGGGAGTGGACGATGGTCTACGACGAGACGAGAAGCTGCCCCGAAGTGCGAGAGAGGAAGAGAGAGAGAAAAAGGATAGAGAGAGAAAATGAGAGAGAGAGAGCGATCGACAGAGCGAGAAGGGTACGCGTGTGCACGTATGCGTGTGTACGTGTGCGGATAAGTAAATGGATGGATAGATGGATAAATGGGGGAGATATAACGAAGAGAGGGATGAGTGAAAAGCTGAGAGAAAAGGGGGAAAAAGAAGGAGTAAACATAATTAAATAGAGAGATTGCGAGAAAGAAAAAAACATATTTAAATAGAAAAGGAGAAAAAATAAGAGAAAAGGAGGGAGTGAGAAAAGAGAGGGATGAGAGAAGGGGAGGTGGAGATAGTGGAGGCTCGTGTCTTGGTGGGCGGAATGGCGAATCAATCCTCGACGAGGGGAAGGGGCGCATGAGGGTGAGGTAGTAGTAGTGGTGGTGGTAGTGGTGATGGAGGAGGAGGAAGACGAGGAGAATGAGGATGAAGAGGAGGAGGCAGAGGAAGAGGTGAAGGCGGCGGCAGAGGGGTGGGTGGGGGTGGCGACAGCAGTGTGGCGACATACTACTCACCGTGGACGGTGGCAGCAAGATGTCTGCGAGGTGTCTCTTCTTCCTCGACGGTGGCAAGAGAGAGGAAAACCCGATGTCACATACGCCGCTTCATCGGGCCACTGTGCTGCCGCTTAATACCACTCCGCGCGGTGCTCTTCGCCCGCCTTCTTCACCTTCTGCCACTAAAAATAAACTCGCTCGCTGTGCCGTGCGCTCCTTTGGCTGCCCCCGCGCGCGCGCTCGCGAACACTCTCCCTCCCCCACTCACACGCACACACACATTCTCTCTTTCTCTCTCTCTCTCTCTCTCGTC